AGATTTGCGTGGAGAGATTGTGACATCTGGGACACTGTTATCTGGGGTGACGGGGCGTCTTTCTGTTCTTGAGGCTCGTTGCGAAGATGCCGAAAATAGACAAAGGCGTAACAACTTGATTATTCATGGCTTACCTGATACAGATAATGAAACGTGGGCGATTACCGAACAAGTGGTCCTAAAAATGTGTTCAGAGAAGCTTGGCCTTAGTTTAGATCAAAGCTGGATTGAACGTGCCCATAGATTGGGTCGTTTTGGTCCGAACAAAAGCCGCCCAGTAATAGTAAAAATGTTGTCTACACTGTTAAAAATGAGTCGTGAAATTTACGAGGAAAGTTCTGGCAGCTCTATTTCCAAACATTTCCCGTCAAAATAACGTACAATCATTTTTTTTAAATTATGTGGGAAAAGTTGTCAAAAAAACGAGGCACCGCATTCTTAGTTTACGAGCATAGACGTGAAAATGACGATTGAATCGTTTTCAAATCTTCCCCCGTGAAAATAACGAACTGTCGTTTTTCTAAATTGACTAGGAAAGTCGTCATTTTTATTTGCGGCTTTGTACGTGAAAATTACGAGGAAATCTCTGGCAGCTCTATTTCCAAACATTCCTCGTGAAAATGACGTACCAGCGTGTTCTGAAACTGTGTGAGAAAAACCTAAAGAAAAGGTGGATTGCATTTTTCAGCTGTAAGTATGTATGTGTAGCATACAGTCATTATGATCAGTGTTCTTCACGTAATTATAAAAACAAAAATTGAAAGATTACTCATCACTTTATTCAAGTTTCCGAGCTTCCTCACTGTACACTCTCCTTGGTGATGATGGTGTGCCATTACATCCTGCGGGAAAAGAGAAGAGAAAATTACCCTATGCCACCCTATGATATAACGTCACATAACTCGCTCAAAGGACTATGAGAGGAAAGCAAGAAAGATAGTAACAGCTTCATCCGGACAAAAGGGTGAGGAAAATTGGACAATAGCATTTCTGAAAGTCTGATATGTCAGACATTGCTGGTGTGCCTTCTTTGCATGCCCAGGGCTATGCTACAGGTAATAGTCTTCACTGCAGGGCACAACATTTATTACACGAAACCTTAGGCACCATAAAGAAAATGTGTGACAAACAATAGCCTTTTCCAGATTCAAGGTTGCAGCTGCTACACTTGAAGCCCATATGGATTGATGAAGGCCACAGCGAAAACATCCGCAAATGGCCATTTTTCAGGGCTGTGCTAATATTAAAATTTTCTTATAGCAGTTTAGTATTATACGGTATTTGATATTGGTTTCAACATTAATCGTACTACTGTAAACGGCTTAATTTTTGCAAAGGCTTACTGTTTGCGAGTTTATCGAAATTGCTTCAAATTGGTCATGCAAATAAGTAACCCCATGGCTACGAATACATTGAACATTACTCCTCATTGTGAAATTTTGCTCCCACAAAGTATTTCCAAAACTGACACTTCACAAAATGTGTGAAATATGAAGCTCGCGAAAATAAAGTCGTTTACGCCAGTCAAACATTTCAAAGCGCTCGTAAAGTCACCATTGCAATGAATTGGCTTTGTTCAGTGCGCTTCTCCGCATGTGCACTGCGCTGCGGAGAAGCGAAACCCATGGAGCAGACTCCGCAATCGCATTAATCGCGTTAACACCCAACAACACCTATAGAATAATAAAAGCCTAGGCATCGCCTCCTCTCCCTTCATGAAACGTCATCACAGTCGGATGGCGCTAACTCGGCTACTGGGCCCGAGTCCGACCTTCGACGCACTGATGGAACACGAGCCCCGGCCGAACACTGACGCAGCACTCGTGCCCAATCTCAGGCCTCAATCGATCTGGCTGTGATGACGGTGCGCAGGCCTTCTGCTTATCTAGGGGGTGGTGTAACACCCCGGTCGCAAGAATCTCGCTTTGTCGCAGTGCAGACTCATACTTTGGTGGGAAATGCACACCTCTATAGCGGAGAGGTTTTGACATGTACACAGGAGGAATTAAGAAAAAAATTTAAAAATGGTTACGTGAATGTTTTTGCATCTGATGGATGTCGGTACTCCCCTCAAGGTCAAATTTAGAAGACAAATAACACTGTAGCTATCCTGTTATCAAGAATATGTATTAGGCTGCAATGTCCTAACATGCTATGTCACGACATTGCAGCAACAGTTCTAATTTGAAATTGAAGGATGAGCATGGCGAGAAGGCCATCAAATCGTATATTTATATTCACAACCTCTATGTGGGCCTTGACCTGATGATAGCCAGAGCCACAACATAATTTGGATCAGAACTAACAGAGGTTTGGCAGTGGGGCGATGATAACGAGATCAATTAGAATTTCATTTAAAAAGTATATGTATTGCCCTCATGCTGATTATGTACACTTATAAATCTATATGCCCATGCAGCATGCTGCTGACAAGCATAAATAAATGACAAGCTTTGCTTGCTGCCTCGATTACAACTGTGCAGCTTAAGCAGATCCTTGAGAATTTTAAGAGAGCATTCAGTTTGGTAATCAAAATTATTCACTTCTAACTTTATTTCAGTGGATGACTACCTGCCCCTGATATTAGGTATTTTTTTGTACCATACCTAAAGTTACTATTCGTGCACGATCATGCTCCTTCACTGACATATTACTGCATTTTGAAAACATATGTACTAAAGTAATCAAAGCAGCCTACAGCTAAACAAGTGATACCAACACTGTCAGGGTGGCTGAGGCTAGCGTGACGGCACTAAGTAACAGGCTTGGAGAGAGGTGCAGACACTGTGATATTCAACTGAAAAGTTAATAAGCTCAAGTCATTATACACTTTAAGCCCAAAATTCATGATTCACACATGCCTATTATTCTCAGTATGAAGCCAAAGGCGAACCAAGTAGTAGTCCGTTGATTTATTACCGAAATAGAATACAATTTGAATACCAAACTGGATGCTTTGCTTATTTTTGGAAGGTTGCGATAAAAAATGCACTACTTAATTGGGTGGAAAACAAAGCCTTGTAACACAATCATGTGCATGATTACATTCTACAAGTCGTTTTACATGTATACACATCATTCTATATCAAAGCTAACAGAATTTTCAAAAAAGGCCACGAAAGTTATCAGAATGTCTTCTTCATTGCGCATTCGTAGGACTCTGTGGACATCAGTAAAGGGGATAACCGTCACAGTATGTTGACTAATTGACGAAAATTTGCTAGCTTTGTAACTAATGGCTTTCTCGGCCATGCTGCAACAGCAGCGTTAAAAGCCAGCCAATATTAAAGGCTATCCCGACTTAAACAATTCACGAAATGCCAAGCGGCTTCCACATATTCCTTGTCCAACTTTTGTGTTTTAATGTCGGATGCAAAAACCGCGCTCAGGAGCTCAAGAATTTGTGCCGTTAATGGTGGGTGGGAGAGTGACATAGTCGTACTGGGCACATCGTCACTATCTCGACAGTGTGTCCTTGGTAGATGCATCCGCGTCATACTTCCAAGATAAAAAAGGTGCATCCGAAGCAACCACGTCCGCACAACATCCTGAGGTCTTCCCCGAGTACGCAATTTTCGAATCGGGTGACAAAGAAAAGCAAATTTTTAGCATTCCATATCTTGAACCTTGTTGCTATACAGAAATTCTGTTAGTGTAACATTTACTGCCTTTGAAACTAGAATTGAAACGTATCCCATAAAACAATTAATTAAAAACATTATTAAAAAAATTTTGTTCATTAGTTTTGATTAACATTCTGCAACGGTTATCCTTTTATCTAATGTCCTCCGAGCCCCATAAACACACACTGAGGGAATCATTTAGATAACTCGTGCCGTTTTTTTTTTTTTTTTTTAATTTCGTTCGAATCAAAATAGACAGCTTTGTATACATGTATATAAAAATATTGAATGCATGTCCATCCCACTATAGAGGTCCACCTTTTCCTTAGGTAAAACTGGATCAAACTGGAGAAGGCCAGTTTTACATAAACCCCCAGCATGGTATGTACCAAGGGCCGCCAGAAATGATTGCTCACCTCAGAACACTCTGTGCGGCTTGAAGAAAGCGGCTTGCGGTCTTTGACGGTGGGTCTACCCGCTTGGTGCAGCTGGGACCTGCAAGAAAGTTAACGCAGCTTGCCATATACCAGAAAGTAACAAAGACAAGGCCAGTATTACATAAACCCCCAGCAGGCATGCACCAAAGACCGCCAGAAATGATTGCTCACCTCACTGAACACTTTGTGCGGCTTGAAGACAGCGGCTTGCGGTCTGACGGTGGGTCATCCCGCTTGGTGTAGATGGGAACTGCGAAAAAGTTAATGCAGCTTGCCATATACCAGAAAATAACAAAGACAAGGTCAGTATTACATAAACCCCCAGCATGGCATGCACCAAAGACAGCCAGAAATTACTGCTCACCTCATAGAACACTTTGTGCGGCTTGAAGACAGCAGCTTGAGGTCTGAAGGTGGGTCAACCCGTTTGGTTTAGATGGGAACTGCGAGAAAGTTAATGCAGCTTGCCATGTACCAGAAAGTAACAAAGACAAGGCTAGTATTACATAAACCCCCTAAATGGCATGCACCAAAGACAGCCAGAAATGATTGCTCACTTCATAGAACACTTTGTGCGGCTTGAAGACAGCGGCTTGCGGTCTGACGGTGGGTCAACCCGCTTGGTGTAGATGGGAACTGCGAGAAAGTTAATGCAGCTTGCCATATACCAGAAAATAACAAAGACAAGGTCAGTACTACATAAACCCCCAGAAGGGCATGTACCAAGGACCACCAGAAATCATTGCTCACCTCAGAGAGCACTCCACGCGGCTTGAAGAGAGCGGCTTGCAATTTTTGTTGCTGGGACCTGCAATATATTTAATACAGCCTGGCGTATACCACAAAGACAAAGCCAGTAATACATAAGCATAAGCATAAGTAATACATGTCCCAAGGACCACTACAAATGCACGCTCACCTCATGGAACATTCCATGTGGCTTAAAGAGAACGGCTTGCAATCTGTAATGGTGCGTGCACCTGTTTGGTGCAGCTGGGACCTGCAATAAATTTAGTACAGCTTGCCATATACCACAATGTAACAAAGACAAGGCCAGTAATACATAAGCCTAAAGCACGACATGTCTTAAGGATTGCTAGAAATGCTTGCTCACCTCATAAAGCACCCCATGCGACTTGAAGAGAGCGGCTTGCAACCTGAGGGTGAGTGCACCTGCTTGGTGCAACTGGAACCTGCAATAAATTTAATACAGCTTGCCTTATACCCACAAAGTTACAAAGACAAGACCAATACTACATAAGCCTCCAGCATGAAATATTCCAAGGACCACTAGGAACACTTGCTGAACTCATAGAGCTCTCCATGCGGCTTGAAGAGAGCGGCTGGCAATCTTCGGATAGTACCTACGGGTTCATTTCCCTTCCTTGATGAGCCTGAGAACTTTCGGATAAATGCCGCTCTTTGCGGTATGGCATGGTGCACACCTGGTACCTCTTTTGAGGTTTATCTGGCCAAAGTACCTATAACAAACATAACAATTGGGTCACACACTGCAGTAGCCAGCAATACCACAGCAATGACAAACGTTAGAGAAGAGAATAAACATAAAATTATGTTTACTAACCAAAATATGTTAATTACCTTCTTAAGTATTGGTATAATGGGCTATGCTGCGATTGCAATTTTAAATGGAGACATTATTAAAGCCCAACCTAAATGAAACAATTTTGTGAAAAAGCAGCAAGTTTTGAGTAATCCATGTTTTTCGGAAATCGCCGGTTAGAGTTTTGGGGTTACATTACTCTCTTTAAAATTGCAATTGCGAAGAGGCCCATTACACCGCTAAATAATAATAATAATAATATTCATAATAATAATATAATACATTTATTGTATCTAGCGCACATCAGTTAGCATGACGGGCACATCACAGCCAACATGAGGCTTGCGGGATATGCCACCCTGAAATTAACAGTCCAACATAGCTATAGACCGACACGCTGTTTACAAACAAGCCCTCCTTTGCCCACACCAGGTGTGGGCACTGCGCGTGCGCAGAAACCGAATTCACGTGAAGTGAATCGTCTGCGCATGAGCAGTGCCGTCGACAGCGCCACCGCAGCTGCGTGACGCCACGGCCGCGTGTTGGTCTATACTTTGAGCCCGAGTGCAAAGTGAAACAACTATATGCAGACGTCATTAGGATGTCACAGGTGCCATGTGACACAGTTAGATGCAGGCACACACCATGCACATGCACACCAACATATGCAAATGCAACGTTAGGTTTGAAAATAGCCACTGTAAAAAAGAGGAAGCAATTATAACCTCGTTAAAAAAAATCATGCACTAATGATAATAAACGTAACTATACTAAACAAATAACGCAACTATACTAAACACAAATTCATGAAACCAAGTCCAAAGGGGAAGTGTCACGGCCGGGGTGTCTGAAGCTGCACAAGTGTAATCTACAGTGAAATAAGAAAAGTAAAAAGCTATGTAATTAAACAGTGACTTTACAATTTTCGGTTAATTAATAAACATATTTTGACGTTTATCCGCCTGTCTAATGTCCGCCGAGCCCTACTATTATACAGTGAGGATGGCATCCACATATATATCACCTTCATTTTCCTTTACAGTCCGTTAAAGATTACAAAAAAAAAATTTGATATATCAGAAGAATCTTTCGACGTCATTTCAGCTGTCTAATGACTCAGGTGTGCAAATGAATGAACAGTACTCATCAATGAGAAATAAAACAAGAAAGCGCAGAAAAATAAATAAAATATAAACTTCTGCGAAGCCGATAAGCCGTTGGGTATGCTGAGCCAATTATTACGATTTTGCGAAATGTTCACCCCTAAACAGACAGTGCGGTGGAAGCTGCATGTTCGTTTGACCAGTCAACTGTCGATTCTGCACAACGTGGTCACCGCCTCTCGCATACTCACGCGGGGAGAGCGAGGTCAAGCGATAAGAGGCTTTATTTATAGTTGGCGAACAAGTAGCTTGCACCGCACTGTCAGCGTAGGCGTGAACGGAATATAGGACATGCAAAAACCTAAAATATATGTACCGTATTTTCCGGGCTATAGTCCGTACCCGGTGTATAGTCCGCAGGGGCAAATTGGGGGTCCAAAGTAAAAGTTCTTGCTTAGATACTTAGATAGTCCGCACCCGGCGCATAGTCCGCGTGCCGTGCATAGTCGGCACCTGGTGCTTAGTCGACACGAAAATCTTCCTATAGACGGCACACCTTGACACATGTCTGCTTTCTTAGCACACAAAGAAGCCTACAATCAGGCACGTAGCCAAAATTTTGTTTCGGGGGGGGGGGGGGGGGGGGGGGGGGGGGGGCCTCCCCCTGGCTACGTGCCTGCCTATAATATACATAAATCATCATTAACATACTCTTTCACTCACAAAATCCGTCACATCTCATACTGAACGATCTTGAAAAACAAAATTCGTGTATAGTCCGCACGCGTAGAGAGTCCGCACAGCCTAAAATTTCAGCTTTTAAACATGTATAGACCTTGGACTATAGCCCGGAAAATACGATATAAAAAAATAAGCACACTGTTAAATATAAAGTCAGAGCCAGCAGCGAGCTGCAGAGTGGATGTTTACAACAATTAACCCTCCAAACTGCTTGAGAAATTTCCCGTCAAATTACGAGGGCGGTCAATAATTTTGTGTACGTCTTAAGGCCCGTTCACACTCTTGCAACCGAGTGCGACCGAGAGAGACCAAACCGGTTTTTAAGCCTTTTGCGATCTCTTAGGACCAGCTCCGCTCAGTGCATCCGGTCCCAAGAAGTCTTTCTCGGTCGTACTCGGTTGCAAGAGTGTGAACGCGCCTTTAGAGGCTCGTGAATCGAGTGCACTGGAAACTTCCGTTTTCGAAGCCGCTAAAACGTCGTTCAATGACATTGCGTCGTTACAAAGACGTTAGCCGCTCGCTTATGTTGTCTGGCTGCATGAATGTTGTTGCAAAAACAAACACAGAAACTAAGCTTCCATAAAAGCTCGTACTCGCGAGTTCTCCTAAGAGATAAGGCGCAGGGCTCTGAGTAAAGGCGCCGCCGCTGCAGCACGGATAAATTAACACGTGCATATTATAACGGAAACATAACGTGCTGAAAAAGAAACACCAAAAGCACGATGTGTCGCTGGACGCCCGTGTACTCAGACCGCAGATTTCGAACACGCTCGAGCGCTTCCCGTCTTCAACCGAAAGCACTCGAACCGCGAACATGGAGAATATTCGATTACAATACGTAAGCAAGACATTGCAAGGATAAAGTCACATTGCATACCTTGAAGTGGGCGATTTAGTCGTCGATGAGCTGATGAGGTCCTGATGCATCACAGAACACTACACTGACCACGATGTCAACAGCCACCGAGGCGAGTTCGACGAACGCCCGAAGAGCGATAGCATGGCGATAGCTGCTGCAACCTCTGTTTGCGCCTGCGCGGCACGGGCGCACGACTCGGAGCAAAACCGCAAAACAACAGAGATGGGTGGATGGGTGTTGCAACAACGGCAACACCATTCTGCGAGAGAGGAGGGCCGCGAAAGAGCTGCGGGGCTGCGCGCTGCGCGGCGGGGCATTCAACTCCTCGCCATCTGCGCATGCTTGCACTCCTGGGATTTTGGCTTTTCTGGAAGGCTCGGCTCTCGCGCCAAATAAATAATGAGGGCATCCTCGTATTTTGAAATGATGAGCGTGCCCGTCTTTTTTGACGAGGGAAAGGCACGTCAAATTGACGTAAATTTTTTACAGTGTACTAAGCACAAGGATTTGATTCTTAACAATGGCCGCAAGCTAAAAGGTACGGCATACTCTGTATATGAGGATTTTTCCCCAGCAGTGCGTGAAGCGCGACGAGTTTTGCTCACCTTTGCGAAAGCTCAAAGTGAAAGATTTAAGCTTTGTTATAATAAACTTTCCATTGGTAATAACGCTTTCGTTTATGATGATCCTGTGAGCAAAACTGTTGTGCCTAAAATTGAATAACTATGCGTAACACCTTCACGTATCTCTGAAAAACCCATTTCTGTTTTATTTACTAACATAAGAAGCCTCACGCACAAGCGCGATGAATTACAAAGTTTTATTGGTTCCACCAGTGCTGATATGATTGTTATCACGGAAACATGGCTAATGATTCTATTGATGACAGAGAACTTTTTGACTGCGTTCCATCTTTTAACATTTATCGTTGCGATAGGATTGGTCGGCGCGGAGGAGGCGTTTTGATAGGAATCAGAAAGACCATCACATCTGCTTTAGTTAACATAGCCACTAACCTCGAATTGCTTTTTATATGTATAAATACCAAAGAGTCGCGCCATCTTGTCGGAGTGTGCTACCGCCCGCCGAATTGCCATGCCTCTTTTGTTGATGCGCTGCATGGTGCGCTTGCCGGGCTCGTTGCCAATTATCCCAATGCATTCATCACACTTTTCGGTGACTTTAATTTTCCTACCATTGACTGGACTAATCCTCCTCTGCTACAAAGATCAGAACCGGGACGGTTTCTTGAGTTGTGCCTTGAATTTAATCTTACCCAACTCATTAAAAGTCCTACCAGAATTACCACGGATTGTAGCGCTATTTTAGACCTTCTTTTGATTATCCTCCCCGACGTGTTTTCAGATATATCATGCCTCGATGGCCTAAGCGACCATAAGCTTGTTCACCTTCATGCCATGTTCCCAGTGCCTACTAATGTCACTTCACGAAAAGTTATCAGAAATTACGCAAAGGGTAACTATGATGCAATTAATGCTAATTTGACAGTGTTCGCTCAAGATTTTCTTTTCGACTTTTCTTCTCGTATTGTGGAACACAACTGGCTACTGTTTAAAAATACAATGCTTGACCTAGTTAAAAATCTTGTTCCCGTCATCAGTATAAAAACAAATCATTCTGCGCCCTGGTTTAACAGGGACCTGGAGCTAATACTAAATAAAAAAAAAGCGTCGCTTCAGGAAAGCCAAGCGAAGCCGCTCCGATTCTGATTGGGCTAGTTATAAGGAGTGCCATCGTTTGTACAAGGGGAAGAATCTGAAAGCCCGTAGAAAATATTTTACTCAAGATTTGCCGTCACTTCTCTTGAATAACCCAAGAAAATTTTGGAAGGTGGTTATTCCAAAAGCTAATGCCGCACTTCACTTAACTGATAACGGAAACATTGTATCTGAGGAAGGGTGTGCTTCGCTGTTGAATATGACTTTTGGTGCCGTGTTTACTCAGGAACCACTGGGGGCAATCCCTTCCTTTCCTTCGTATTTAAGCAATAACATGCCTAACGTAAGCATTACACCGGACTGTGTTCCTAACCTTATTAACAGCTCTAAACTTTCTACATCTGCTGGTGAAGACGGCATTAGCTCGAAATTACTGAAGTGTACTAAGGACATTAGCTGTGTCTTACTATCCGAAATATTTTCCCAGTCATTGCTAGAGGGTAGGCTGCCCAATGATTGGAAAATCGGGCGGGTCGTTCCTGTCTTCAAAGGTGGTGATAAATTATCTGCTAATGACTACAGGCCAATATCTATAACCAGTGTTTCATGTAAATTAGTTGAGCATATAATCTATACTAACCTCATTATTTTTCTTGAGAACAATAATTTCTTCTCACCTCACCAACATGGTTTTAGAAAAGGACTGTCTTGTGAGACACACTAGCTGGTTTCTTACATCATATTCACACTAATTTGGACAGCAATGAGGTTACTGATGCTATTTTTCTCGACTTTTCTAAGGCATTTGATCGCGTTCCTCATCAGCGTTTGCTCTCGAAATTATCTGCACTAAATATTGACCCGCATGTATTTAAATGAATAAAAGACTTTTTACATAACAGGACCCAGTACGCTATCGCTAACAACCATCATTCAGATCCTGTTCCCATCACCTCCGGTATTCCTCAGGGTAGTGTGCTGGGCCCGCTTCTTTTTTCTATCTATTTAACGATTTGCCTAACTCCTTGACCTCACAAATTCGTCTTTTCGCCGATGACTGCGTTATTTATCGTCGGATCAGTAACCCATCAGATTCTACTGCCCTTCAATATGACTTACTAAATATCAGCTCATGGTGTGCAAACTGGCTAATGCTTTTAAACTCTTCTAAACGCAGGCACGTTCGTTTCATTCGTCCTAATAATTCTTGTTCGTACCCCAGTCAATATCACATTCAAAATACCCCGTTGGGTATTTTGAATGTGAATGAACCTAGGAGTTCACCTAACCTCGGATCTATCATGGAACATGCATATTAATTACATTCTTTCAAAAGCTAACCGTAGTCTCGGTTATTTAAAACGCAACCTTAATTCTGTTCCATCTTCTCTTAAACGACTAACATACGTCACGCTTGTTCGACCGATCCTGGAATACGCTTGCAGCATTTGGAACCCTCATTATCATTACTTAGCTGCCTCACTGGAAGCACTTCAAAACCGAGCCGTTCGTTTCATTTTTTTCTGATTACTCACGTCATACAAGTGTAACTAACCTTAAATCTCGTGCTGACTTTCATTCACTTGAGATACGCCGCAGGGTATCAAAGTTATGTGTTCCGCACAAAATATACTACTCGCCATCACTTCACTCATCACTTCTCTCTGAACCGTTTTATGTTTCAGCCCGCATCGATAACTCACGTAAGATTAAATTTATTTCTTGTAAGTCATCCTTGTTTTTCTGCTCGTTTTTGCCATCCGCCATTGCTGACTGGAACGACTTGCCCGATAACATTGTTTGTCAACGTGATCAAGTTCTTTTTCGACAAGACTTGACTATTTTTTGGGACCCTTGTCGCATCTCTACTTAAGTGTGGTTGATTTTGTTGTTTTTGTGCTCTATACTTTTGATTTATTCTGCTTTGTAACCCCCCCCCCCCCCCCCCCTTACATAATGCCCCTTGAGGGTGTGTAAGGTATTTAAATAAATAAATAAATAAATTACTGGCGCCCCTGGCCCCGGGGCGCGAGCGCTGTGTTCCTTTCCCTGTGTATAAACAGTTTGGCTTCAACCAAATACTTTACTAGAGAGAATATATTATACTCCTCCCAAATACAATAGACTCGGCGCGGATAGGTTTTGTGGGTTTGGCGAGTACCATCTATTGTCGGGGAGGTCTCGGATATCGATGATATTGATGTTCTACATACCAAATTCATTGTTGTGGAAATGCGCGAGACACGTGCCGCGCCCCACTTCTAAGAATACCATGGCGTCTAAACTCTAGCTAAGTATACTGGAGCTCAGTGGTGCGCTAAATACTTTGCTGCGCTGAGCCGCCATGATCTTCCCAAGAATTGAACGGTGCACGTGCCTCGTGCATCGGCGCACCTTGCGCCACTTTTGAAACATGAAGGGGCTTTAGGTGGAATTAAAGTCACTGGATCCTGGGAAAGTAGCGCCATTGCCTTCCCTACCTGCTAGCCGGACACAAACGGATACTAACATACAGACGACCAAAATTTCGCAAGGCGATTGGCTAATCGGCCTACGTTGCCATGGAAATCGCCATCTTGGTCCATTTAAATCTTCGATGCTTTCGGGGGGTCGTTCTAAACCTGTCGCGCCAAGATCACCATGGAGCATCATCGTACTGGAAGCGTTCCTCTTCAATATAAGAGTCTTTGGCACTTCGTATGCGATCAACTTATTAATCAGGCCCATCTCCATGGATCTCTTACAATTATATTGTTCCTCTTGCGCATTTCAAGACAGTAAACTTATTTTTCAGTACCTCGAAGCACCGACACAGCATCTGGTGGTGCTACGAACGTGTACGCCTGTTTCGCCGGTGTGTGGTTAGCAAAATCTCGGTATACAAAAAACGACTCAATAAAGCTACCCGTCACCAGCGAATCTAGATAGGCTCACCAAGAACGGAGGGGTCAAGGAGAAATTGCTCATTTCATGGACCAAGATGGCGACCACACGCGGAGCTTGGCGTTACTTTTCCAGGATCCAGTGACTTTAGGTGGAATCGGAGACGACACCGCCGCGGCCGCCGCGAACATCCACGTGCACTTGCGCGTGGACTGACGCGGACCTCCACCCCGTCAGGGCTGGATTGGGCGCTGTAGGCATTTTGTCTAATGCAAATGAGCAGAGTGGAATGTATTCACCCTAGTAAAGTATTTGCTTCAACTGTCAACCAAATGTGTCAACCCTGGACGAGTCCTTTCTTCTCGGCGTTGGCGCGCTTGGGCCCTATGTTGCGCTTTTTGTACTCCCACGGCGACTAGGGAGAAGGACGTGACGTCAACAACGCAGCAAACGCAGATTGGATGTTGATTGGCGAGAGTCGCTGATGACGAATTT